CCTCCAGGACCTGCTAACTGTCCTTTAAGACCTGCTAGAGTCCTCCAGGACCTGCTAACATTTTTTAAGACCTGCTAGAGTCCTCCAGGACCTGCTAACATTTTTTAAGACCTGCTAGAGTCCTCCAGGACCTGCTAACATCCTTTAAGCCCCGTCATATTTATGTGATCTTCTTGACAACTACACTCCAGTCAGAGCACTCAGGTCTACCAACCAGTTCCTGTTAGATGTTCCTAGATCCAAACTGAAATCTAGKGGTGATGGGGCCTTTACAATAGCTGCTCCAAAGCTGTGGAACAGTCTGCCTCTTAATATTCGGTCAGCAGAGACTGTTGAGACTTTTAAATCTTTGCTGAAGATCCATTTCTTTTCTTTGGCTTTTGATTAAGACCGAGTTGGAGGTTCAGTTAGAGTTTTTTTTTATATATGTTTTATAGTGTGTTTCMGTATTGCATTTATATCTCTTATTATTTTTATTTTTATAAATTTTTTTGATACAAGTCTTGACTGAACTGTGAAGCACTTTGGTCAGCCTTTCTTGTTTAAATGTGCTATACAAATAAATTGGACATTGACATATAAGACTCGCTTAGAGTCCTCCAAGTAGGGCTGGGCCATATCATATCATTCACGATAATACCGGAAGAAAAACTTGCCCGGGAAAATAAATTATATCATGATATGCTAATTTCATGACCGACGTCATTTTGCCCATGTCGGAGAACCTGCTTGTTTTCTGCTGCGGTCTTGTTAAAGCCGCCCAGTCTGATACAGGTTTAAACAGACGCTGCTTTCAACAAATCAAACAAACACCACAGCTTTATCCAATCAGAGCAGAGCAGGGCGGGTCTTTCTGATGTCATTGCAGAAAGTCTGCAGGATAAGCACCAGTCAACCTGCAGCTCCTGTCCTGAGTGACCAAACCCCGTCCTCCACACTTCACTCCTGAGCTACCAGAGACGTTGGTATCTAAAATCTAACACGCTATAAGTTTATGTGTTCAGAGCGTCGTTATCTAACAGATTATGTCCAACTTTGCTCACATAACCAAACTCCTCTCCACAGCGCTGTTATGGGAGCGCGCTGAGGTGCWCACAGGCTGAGTTCTGTAAGAGACACTGTTTCAGCTCTTCCAAAATATTAACTTAGTTGAACACTTTGTCCCAGTATAGAAAAGATGAGTCTCTGCTTAGCGTTAGCCACCCACCCCACAAAACAAAATAAAAAACACTATACACACTCATGTCTACAAATTTCATACTTCACATTATAGCTTGCTTATATTTAGAACCATACTGTGACTGAACTGCTCTGTGATTCAATAAATGATCAAATATGAAGAATAAATAGTATAAATTATTACATGAGCTCTCTAAATAATATAATCTTGAAAGAATTAGTTATTTTAGTAGAGAAATAAGTCAGCCTAACAAATAAAAAATGTAAAGTTATTTTGTGTAGTACAAAAGACATAGTTGGCATACTTTTTAAAATATAAAATTATAGTACATACATAATGTGTTTGCACTGAAATGTTATGGAGATGGTTAAATATTTGTATAACTATATCTGACTCAAGTCTTGACAAAAATGTTTTTTTTATTAAATATATTAAAAACACTAAAATGATAAACTACAGAAAAGCTGTTCAAAATCAAACTGTTCCTTACAAATCCCTTTGGTCCAAATGGTTCAGTTAAAATTTTTGTATAATGCTTCATTAGAGAATACTAAACTGTGTACTTTGATGAAGAACATGGACACAGTATGTAGTGTTATGATCATACTATACCATGTACTTGTGTGTGTGGTTGTGGTAAGAGTTATCATACATTTATCGATATCGAGGTAAACTGGTCAATATATCATGATATTGATTTTAGGCCATATCGCCCAGCCCTACCTCCGAGACCCACTAGAGTCCTCCAGGAACTGCTAACTGTCCTTTAAAACCCGCTAACTGTCTTTTAAGACCCACTGACTGTCCTTTAAAACCATCGGACTGTCCTTTAAGACCTGCTAATTGTCCTCAGATGGGCCCAGGATCTCTGAGGCTCTGAAGGATCCAGTTCTGGATCTGAGGAACTGGGTCTCTGAATCTCCTCTCTCTGCTCTCTGTTCCAGATTCTGCACAGAGACATTAAACCGGCCAACGTTCTGATCACCAGAGATGGGGTCCTGAAGCTGGCGGACTTCAGTCTGGCTCGAAACTTCAGCGTGCCTAAGATCCCGATGTGGAACCCGTACATGATCTCGGTGGTCACGCGGTGGTACAGACCCCCAGAGCTGCTGCTGGGTCAGTTCTTAGTCTGTAAAAACCAGTTTGATCTGGGGGGAAACCCAGAACCCTGACCCGCTTCCTTCTCTACAGGTGAGCAGGACTACGGACCCCCCATCGACCTGTGGGGGGTGGGCTGCATCATGGCGGAGATGTGGACCAGGAACCCCATCATGCAGGGCAACACGGAACAGCACCAGCTGATCTTGATCAGCCAGCTGTGCGGGTCCATCACCCCGGAGGTGTGGCCCGGAGTGGACAAGAAGTACGAGCTGTACCAGAAGATGGAGCTGCCCAAAGGCCAGAAGAGGAAAGTGAAGGACCGCGTCAAGGTCTACGTCAAAGACCCCTACGCCCTGGACCTGATCGACAAGCTCCTGGTCCTGGACCCGGCTCAGCGCACTGACAGCGACTACGCGCTCAACCACAACTTCTTCTGGTCTGACCCCATGCCGTCGGYCCTGAAGAACATGCTGTCCACCCACAACACCTCCATGGTCGAGTACCTGGCCCCGCCCAAGAGGAGGGGCCATATGCCCCAGCCGCAGCCCAACCAGAACCGCAACCCGGCCACCACCAACCAGACCGAGTTCGACCGCGTGTATGAGTGGCGCTCGTGTCTGACACGTTAGAACTCAGAGAACGTTCCGGACTGGTCCTGGTTCTGGTCCTGTTGAGTGGATTCAAGAGGTCCTGGTCCTGGTTCTGGTCCTGCAGAGACTTTTGTAAAACTGGACGGTCCAAAATTTTTTATTTCTTCACGTTTTTGAACTTTTGACTTCAGTTTGCTTCATGTTGTCAGAATGTTTCTGCTTATTTATTCTAAAGTCCAATTGCTTCAGATGGACCCGGTTCTGTTGGACCCAGTTCTGTCCACAGAAACAAAAGCAACATTTTGTTTTCCAGCTAATAAACTTTACTGTATGATAGTTTAAAAGAAACCAGCAGCAGCAGCTCTGAAGTGTTGCAATCACAATAAAAACAGTATCTTTATTTTTGTTTCTTAGATCAAAGCTGTTTGATCTGAAACCTCTCACACTGTGTTTAAATTCACAAATCAAAGTCTTCGGCTTGTTCGGCTCATTGTGACTCCAGGTTTTTGTAACTTTTAGAACTGTTTCTCCTCGTTGAATTTAAAAGAAATCTCTTCAAATCCTTGAAAAATTTGCAATATTTTTGTTTTGTTTTTCTATGACGAAGTATTTAATTATTTTAAATATCTTAGCTTAAAATGTGGCAGCTAAAGATGCTATATGCTACACACTGACACGTTCAGCACT